ATTTACTATTCTGAAATAAATAACAACTACAATGACGTTAAAGATATTCCATTATATTCGTAATCAATTTAAAAAATAAATCATTCAAAAAGTATATGACTTACTGTTCAAAGATAACATTATTATTAGTTTCTTGATTGTCCATCGTACAATGAAATCACATTTACGAATGAAATGCGCATTTTAAACACTTTGATCGAATAAAATATTTGTTAGATAATAAAATATCTGTTAAAAAATATTTTGATATTTATGAAAAGTATTTATAATCAAAATTAACGCGCGTGGTTTCGATATTCTACTTTGTACGAAAGTCGAGTAATAATTGGAGTTGACATAAACATAATAAGACTCGGTAGGTAAAGTCAAGCGCTGCAGTCATCATATCGATAACAATACAAGCAAAAAATATTTAATTATAATTTTAATATTTTATTAAGAATTTATCTTGATTATTTTCTTTATTAATTTGATATAGTTGATATAGTTACTTATAAAATTATAATCTAAATTTATTAATTTTTTATAAATAATTTATCATTCTTACTAACAGTTTATTAATGTAATTATTCGTAAGATTATTATTTATTAGATTTATTAATTTGTAAATTAATTTATTATTTTTATGTTTTCTCAATATTTTAAATCTTTACGAAGAAGGAATTAATTTTTTAAAACAAATCTACTTTATCATTGTACGAACACGCAAACTTTATCGACTGTTGATAATATAATATAATTTTTGATACAAATATTTCTACTTATGATAAAATTATTAAAAAAGTTCCCTTATTTATTTCTAATGAATAATATTTTTTTTTACTTATATATAATTATGGGCGAAAAATCTATTCTACAATTTCAAAATAACCATTTCTATTTAAATTAATACTAATTACAATACAGAAATCGAGAATAACGAATAAAAAAACATAATCTTCCCGACCCATAATTTATTCGATTCGTGAAATGCTCTCCAAAGAATATTACGTTTAAAGAACGTATTTACATTTTTTATCATTTACATGATACACGCGTGAAAGTACAGAAAAGTACAGGTGAAACAGGTATACGGGGGAGTTCTTCCGTTTTTAGTAATCATAAAGCGCAGGTGTACGCCGTTGCACAATGAACAATGCTCTCTCGCACAAATACCATTCCCGTAACGGTCGAATGTAAACGAAACAAGATTTTTTCGCCAAAAAAAAAAAAAAAAAAAAAAAAAAAAAAAAAAAGAAAAAAAAAGAAAAGAAAAGAAAAGAAAAAGAAAACGGAAAGAGGTAAAAGGCTTCTTGTCACATGTGACATCGATAACGCACAGGATACACGATCGACAAAAAAAGTGAGAGTTTCGGATCGGTGCAATCTGATGCATATTTAGCGGCTACGGCTTGGTGAACCCATTGCTAATTGTTCTGTGTCCACTGCTAGAATTGTAACGTAACGCTGAATTGCGCGCAACAACGACGAAACATTTAAATATCTAATCGTAATCGTCCGATCGGAAACGAATGCAAAATGGCCGGGAGTGTTGTACGCGCTTCGAACACGAGTACTTTGAGGGGGAGAACGAAGGGGTGCAAGGAAGAAGAAGAGAGGAAAAAAAAAAGAGAAAAAAAAAAAAAAAATACAGGGACAGAGAATGGCCAACGTTATTTCCCATGAAGCCAACGAAGCGCGGACGTGGAACTGATCGCGCGTGTAAAGTTTAAATTTCGTGAATTCGATAGCTCGATCGAGGATCGAGAACGCGTGCATCGATGATCACGTGAACCATATGGTTCACGTGCCCCCAGCATGGAAATAATGGGTCACGATTACACAAAGAAGACCCTCGTCGGGAAGCGAGCGAATTCGAGGCCCGAATTTTTTCGACATACTGACCATGCTTTAACTTTACTTTATAATGTCCTATCTAATTATATTTATATTTACTCTTCGAGATAATAAACTAATAATCTCGATAATTAAAATTCTCGTATTATTGTCGAATAATATTCACAGATAGGGATCCGAAAAATTTATAAACTCGAATACGCGAAAAAAATACGCGAATCTCTGCGATAATAATAATAACAATAATAATAATAATTATTATTATTTTATCGATGGAAAAAAAAAATTAATGATCCTTGGAGCACGAAAAAAGTGGAAAATGACTTCACACATCCGCCTATTCCTATTAGGGGGAAAAAAATGAAACCTTTTCGGTGACACGAGAGAAGACACGTGCCCATCGATCGTTCCTTAATCCGGAAGCACGTGAACCAACGGAAATATCCTCAAGGGATTCTCTTGGCCGTTTCCTTCCAACCGGACGTTGAAAAATTTCAAACGGCGCGAAATGTTCGAACGTTGCTCGACGTGAATTTTTTTTCAACGTATCGAAAACGAGAGGAACCCGAAGATGGAACCCAATCGATGTCTTTAGAGAAGAAAAGAATAGAGAATTGTGCAAGGGTGGTTCGTTCACGGAACATAAAATTCACGAACGTTCGACGAGTCGCGAACGTCGTTCGTTTCGCGCCTTTGCAGCTGTCGCGCGTGAAAAGCTTTCGCTCCATTTCTTCGACGTGCGTTTCTATCCTCTCCTTTCTTCTTTTCTTTTCTACTCTCAATTACGCCAATTCGTAAAAAATGAAACACGTAGATATTCAGATCGAAGATATTTGATTCAACACGGAGGGAAGAAAAATGTGTCCGCTTCCTTTTTCCATGCTGCATCAAAACCTTCCCTTTCCCTTTCCATCAAACGTTCCTATCGACTTTCGGTGGAAAAATCGAAAAATCCACTCGAAGACGAATCGAGATGAGGAGTACAGGAGAGAAAGGGGGATATAACGTAATACGGATTTTATCCGCTGCGGTTCCGATAAATTTCAATCGAGCCAGCCGAGTATAGGGCAATACCGGTAATACTGCAAAGCGTTATTACGAATTTGCATATCCGAGATACGCTACTCGCTTCCCTCCTGCAACAAACTCCGCTCCGTACACCAAGCTTCACTCGTTAATTTAACTTCCTCTCGCGTCGCCGTGCGTGGACGAGCACGCGTGTGCACGTAGATATGGGCGCGCGTGTGTGCATAGATCCGAGTTAAACGCATTGCGACTTGGGGCAATCGTCGCGATTAAACGCGATACCGTCCTGTTCTTCCCCAAAACGGGGAGGGGAGGGGAAGGGAGGAGGAAGGTGATCGAGCGTGCTGGTCGTTCCCGACAAAATTATCGTCGCGAAATTTTCCGATTTATTGTTCGGAAAAATATATCTTTTTTCAGCACGCACGACGTTGCACGAGTTGAATGCAAAATTGTTGTTGTGGCCCGCTCGAAATCATCGTCGTGAGGAGCTCGTCGATATACGAAATTCGTGTCACGCGTTGAACAATCGGCATATCCGTTCATCCACCTTTGTTCGTGCACCTTTCACGCAGTCGCGCATTGTGGGTAACCGCTCGTCCGTAAAGGTCCAGTGGGAGGAAGGGGTTGGTTTTTCGAACCCTTGAACCAGTGTTTCTTTCGACAGATGTGCCGATCGAGCAATATCGATGAATCTGTTGAAATGTTTGGGATATAAAAGTTTTCGAGCAGGATACCGATCGAGCATCGAGCCACGTAGAGATACATATCGATGTTTTATTATACACGTCTCCGCCGTGGTAGATTTCATTGACGCGAGTCGAAACACAGATGGAGAGGAAAAAGGAGAATTCATGGTTGAACTTTGTGTGCGTGTTCATACGTGTCATTTCAACGGATAATTAAACGACCGTTATTTATATCCTTTTTTGCAAGAAGGAAAGAAAAAAAAGATTTCCAATGGCGGGACCATTGGAAAACGGGACCTCGCCTAACCCAGCTCCCCCGCAAAGCGGTGATTTTTCGGCGAATTTTGGAAAATTACCGGAACGAAAATGGCGGCGGGCGGACAATGAGGCGGACGGGTCGAGGCAACGAGATCATTCAGTTTTCGTCGGTGTTATTTAACGAACGAGCAGGGGACGTGTCGTTGGATAAACATCGTTGGCGAAAGAACGAGGTTACCTTCTTCTTCTTCTTCTTCTTCTTCTTCTCTAGCTACGAAAATCGGATCGTTATGTTCAAAGGGAGGGAAATTGAACAGTAACGGCTAACATCTGGATCGTTTCGTAGAAAATTATCATTCCACCAGAATTTCTCTAAATTTCTGAATTTCTTTATTCTCCAAATACAATAGAAATTTTCTATTTGAAAGCAAAAAAAAATAAATAAGTAAAATAAATAAAATAAACGCGAGATTGTTCCTTTTCATCGCTCGTTCCAGCGGCTCTAATTATTGTTGCAATTACGGGGAGCATAATTGATAGGACGTGTTTGATGATTTGTCGAGAAATCGGTGACCAAACGAAAACAAAAAAAAAAAAAAAACAAAAAAAGAAAGAAAGAAAAAAGAAGAAGAGGGAGAGAAAGAGGGAGAGAGGAGAAAATCGGGCGAAACCGTGAATTAGGCAGCTGGCAGGAACAATAACGGGAGAATGGAGAGCGAAGGGTTGCGTTCGTTTAATACACGGTTAAATGCGGATTGTCGTGGGCGCGTGCAACCACATCCTGTGCAATTTTTGTCACGCTTGCTACGCTCTTTTTTTCAATTTCTCTCGTTTCTTGGACGCCTACCACCGACTCGAAATGCGAAATGAGAGGGGCGTACGTACGAAATCGCAACCACCCACGGATTTCGAGATGAAAAATCAGAGGGTTGCTCGGATCGAACGGATTACCGTCCACCTCAACCGCGTCAACCGCTGTACGCACGAAACGATAATAACAAGAGGGCATCCTCCTCCTGTCGCGATCGAAACGGAGACGAGAGAACACGATGGAAATATATTGATATCGAGATTAGAATCGATATTGTGTTTACTTACATTATCGCCTTATATTTGTTGTTGCGAGCTGTGTATCTTAATTGTTTAGTTCAATTTTTAATTTTATATAAAGTATTGTCAACTTCACATTACAAAGTGATTCTCGTTTAATTTTTTGAATATTGCGAGGGATCGTTATAGAGAGGGAGGGTCCCTTATATATATTTTTTCATAATAAGTAAGTAGTCAGTTTATTTTTTTCAATATTTATATTGTATATTGTAATGCAGCGTTCACTTGCATTGCCGCCTTATACTTGTTGTTGAGCGTATATCTTAATTGTTTAGTTCAATTTTTAATTTTTAATTATTGTCAACTTCATATTACACAACGATTTCTCGTTTAATTTTTGATTATTGCGAGAGATCGTTGTCCTGGATTTTATATATTTTTCATAATAGTAAATATTTAATTGATTGTTTTTTTCAAGATAGATATATATATATATATATATTAAAACGTAGTTGTAATAAGTATAGAAATATAAATCTTGTATATTAAATATTTTTTTCCCCCCACAATAGGTTTTTAATCCTCTTTTTCTTAGAACGGTATGTAAAAAACATACAAGATAGTTAAGGTTAATAATACTGAATTCTAAAATATCGATGATATCGAAAATTATCGATCTAATTCTACGAAATTTCGAAGTGAAGAGATTAGTTAGATTAATCGAGAATGGTAGAGTAAAAAAAAAAAGAAAAAAATTAGTTTACTCGATCGAATTATTTGAAAAAGATAGTACATTCACGAATATACTATATATCGATCGATTGAAATAACGTTTTTATCTAATTTCTATCTGGGAACGAATGATAACGCTAAAAGTAAAAGTATAAAGTGATTTCTATCATCATGTCACGCATCATATGCATCGTTTCCTCTTCGTTTTCAATCTCCTTTTATCGATTATATTTTCAACATTTTCGCGAGTGATTCGAGTCATTTACAATTTCATAGAAGAGTGAATAATTACAGAGTGAAGGAAATATGAATCGTGGAAACGTACAATTTTTACTTTTACCCGTGTCAATCGTTATCGGTGAGTTCATATTTATATAAATTTATATACAAAATTCGAGGTATCGGGTATTGAATTGACACGAAATTTCAGCGTTATCTGTTAACGTTAACGGATCAAAAATAAATGTCCGGCCTTCGTTAACGGATGGAGATGATGGAAAGAAAATGGACAATTTTTTATACGTTGTTAACAACACGAGAGGTCAACCGTGCATTTTGGCAAATATGTCAATTAATTTCATGATACCGTATGAAAAGGCAAGAATTAAATACAAAAAAGTATCTCGTGTCCCTATCGATTGGAAATTAATGTTAAGCAATAAATAAACATTTCTATTCCAGAAAAATACAAATTTCAATGTTCCAAATAATGCTACGGTACAAGGCCATTGTTCATCTATAGTATCCGAAATGACATTGAGCTGGAAAGAAGGAAAAAGTGATAAAGATAACACGATTAAATTTACGTTCATCAATGATCACACCAATTTCACGGTTTTTTCAATCGAGCTTAATATTTATAAGGACAAAGAAAAATTTCCAAATGGTGAAAAGCACAACGTTTATAATTTTAAATAATTCTTCTTCTTCTTCTTCTTCTTCTTCTTCTTCTTCTTCTTCTTGTGTCATTATGTCGTATTTTTTGTTACTTTCTTTTTTTTTTTTTTTACAAATACGATGTAATTTTTAGATGGAGATAAATGGTTTGTAGCAAAATCGGATTTGGACCTCCACTTATTCCCTGCATTCTCGAAGAATGGAATTCACAAGTGTGACGAAGAAAAAAAAGTGAAATTGAATGGTACTGAATTAATTGTGACAAACGTTTCTTTGATTGCATTCAATAACGATATTTCCTCGCGTAAAGGTAAATTAATAACTATGATGTATTATCTTGTATTTCGTATAATAAATACGATAAAAGTCATGCATCATGTTCGACGAGAAAAAATTAAAAATTTAGACGGATAAGATATATATTTGTGGATTTGCAGAAGTGACAAACTGCATAAATCCCGAAAAAGACGGGGCCAATAATAAAACTTTCCCTTACATCGCAAAATGGAAGAATAACACAATTTGTGGATTGTTAAGAATGTCAGTTACCGTACAGATGTCGTATATGACAAAGGATTTGAAGGTAAAAGAAATCGAAATGTAAAAATGTTGTTTTAAATTAAAATGCTTTTACATATATTTGGATCTATCTAAAAATTAATCTTTCCTTTCCAGATGAAAAATGTAAATATAACAGTTCCAACCAGGACTAATGTCATAGAATCTTGCACAACTGACACATTTGACATAGAATTAGTTTGGAGCTCGAAAGATGAGCCGAATAAAAATTCAATTATATTTCATTTTTCCAAAATAGAGAAAAATTTGCTTCGCTACGTAATAATTAACATTTTTATGGATAAAGAAAATTTTCCGAATGCTACAAGTATGCGTTTAAATTTTATATATATATATATAATTAAACACAAATAAATCTGTTTTTATCCATTAACACGATAAAAATATTAGATACAGGTAAAAATACATCAGCTATGAAATTTGCTAATTTGTTCCCCACACCCGTAAATGGAATTTATAGTTGCACGGAAGAAATCGCAATAGCGACAGGAAACGACATTAACGTTACAATAAGCGATACTCTGTTGATCCCATACGATGTGGAAAATAATTTAGTGTCGAAAAAGGGTAAAATATTTCTATTATTATTGGTTAAATTAAATATGAGAATTGGAGAGGGAAGGAAAAAAATTTTTGTTTTTCAGTGGCTGATTGTAAAATTAATATTTCCGAATTTGACTTTAATTACATTGTACGAAACGAAGAAGAAATACCTTGCATTTTGGCGAACATGAACATATCAATTGATACGAGTAATTCGAAAGTAAGATCACGAATTACAATATAAATTTGTTTCGTTGTTGCTACAACGATATCAACTCTAACGATAAATACATTTTTATCGTAGAATAAGAATAAAGATGCGATAATAGTTCCACTCGAAGCTAAGGTAAATGGCAGTTGCGACACTAAGAGGTCTCAAATGGAACTGATGTGGACAAAATCGAAAGAAGAGAATTTGATGAATAATATTATATTTTATATCGCTCGTAATAAAACTGATTTCTTTGTTTATCAAATAGAGGTCAATATTTACGCGGGTACGTTCGAAAAATGTCTTTTAACATCGAGATTTTTACTATTATTTTTTCCTATTTATTTATAATCATAATCAATTTAGATAAGATACACAAAATGTCAGACTTTGGTCTCGATTTATTTTCAACGTCCGGAATTTACAATTGCACCGATCAGAATTGGCAGATAAAGCTGGACGATATCGTGATCGACATAAACAACGTCCTTTTCACCGCATTCAATACCGATGAAAATTTGAATTCGAAAACAGGTAACGTCAATATTTTATAATTAATTTTTTTACCTCTCCTACGAATATTCTTATATCTCAAAATTAGAAGAATAAAAAAAAAAAAAATGTGCCTTTTAATTCTCTGTACAGTGACAGACTGTTCGAGAAGTCAAGATTCCACCACATCGCCGATCGTATCGAGCACAACTGAAACGACAACCGACCAATCATCGACTACGCCCGAACCTGATCCTTACGTGAACGAGTATAATTACGTTGTGATAAACGAGAAAACGCACGTGGCTTGTATCGCAGCGAACATGACAATTTTTATGAAAATACCTTACGTGACGAAGCAATCCAAAGTATGTATATTTTTCGAACAACCTTACTCTTTACCTTTACTTTCTTACGGCGTATATTATTCCCTTATCTCTTTCGAATTAATCTTGATCCCGTTCGTTTTAGACGAACGAAACGATTTTAACGATACCGGCGAGTAGCACGGTAACCGGAAATTGCGGGAGCACAAATTCGACGATGGAATTAACTTGGTTTGAAAAGTCAGAATCGTATAACGTGTACAAGAACGAGAAAAATAACTCGTTTAAGATCAATTTTCAAAAAGACGAATCAAATTATTTGCTCCATTCGATCGAGTTGAACATTTACATGGATAAAACAAATTTTCCCAATTCTAATGGTAAGAGTTTTTTTTTTGTTTGGCAATTTATAAAAAATTTGTATTTTGGGATAAAATAATTATTATTATTTCTTTTTTTTTAATTCAGAGGAGAGATACACCGCTGTCGAAAATATCGATATGATTTCCGCTCCTTTGAACAACCTCTACAAATGCGGTGACAATACCTCTGTAAAAGTGAAAAACGTCGACGTGACCGTCGCTAACGTTACACTGATCGCGTTCAACACCGAGAACAAGATCGCTACGAAGTCGGGTAAAGATCATCGTACATCGACGTTTTATTAAATTTCAATTTCGCTACATGGAAACTTTTGTCCATAACGTGTAATTCAGATTTAACATTTGATTTTTTTTTTTTTGTTTTTCTTCTTTTTCAGTAATGTGTATTCAGGATACAAGTCCTAACATTGGATTAATAATAGGATGTACCATCGGAGCTATTATGATCCTCGGTATATCTGCGTTGTTGATGTATCTATATTTCAGCGAATGTCTCTCATGTTCTATTTTTTCGAGGTCACGATAATATGAGTCGTTTTTTTTTTTTTTTTTTTTTTTGAAAATGACATAAGTCCATTTTTGGAAAAAATGAGTTAATTGGAAGTTTTTAATATAGATATCCTCTTTTTATATATTTATAATCGTACACAGTGAATGGTGTACAAAATATCCTCATAAATTGATAAAAAAAAAAAAAAGAAAAGTTGAACCGTAAAATGTTAAGTAAGTATTTTTGTTGAAACTGGAATAAGTCTAATTCGTAATAATGATGAGATCGAGAAATAAGATTGAAATATGAATAAGTCTATCGTTATTAACTATTTTAATATTTTGTTTATTTATACAAATTCGTTATAACATATATATATATATATAAATGAAATTATTTTTTAATAAACTCGATTACCGAATGCCGTTTACTTACGTTAGAAGTTTTTATTTTTTTTACATTAAAAAAATACATTTCGATAAAAGCAAATTAAGATATAAATTAAAAAATTATCTAATTTATATTCTTCATAATATGCTATTATCGAAAGTGGTAAATAAATCGTATTTGTTCTAAAAAACTCGCTTATTTTCTTTAACACTTTTTATTACAATTATTATTACTCAATAAAATTTAACAAGTTTATAGTTCAAATCCTTAAATATCTCAACGTACGAATAAATAAACTTATATCATTTTCAAGAACAACTTGTATATTAAAATACATATAGATATATTTGAACGAAATATATTCCTTATTCCACATGGTGGTGGGAAAGTGGCCGTATATTCGTTAATTATCCCATTTTAGGGAACAATTCGATGCTTCGACCACCCTTCGTGCTTCCGTCACGGTTACGCCCACCCCCTCCCCATTATTGTTTATCTTCCATATTCTAATATGCGTTACGTCGTGCGTGTGAACCCGATAGTCCATTTCAATGCAAAATCGCAAAAAATTGCTCGATCGAATTTAATGCAGTTGGGAACGGAATTAATTAAAGAGAACATTTTATTATTTCATTATATCTTACGTATCGTCCCTCGATATCCTCCATACGTAAAAAAGGTTAGTAGATGGATATATACATATATATATATATATAGATAAACGAAAAATTTCATATTCGACGCAAACCCCAAGAGAATTTATTAAACCGGAAAGAGATCGTATTTCACATCGATTCCACGTTGAAGTAACATCAAATGCCGGATACTACCCCTTCGTTTGGATAGTTGGATATCGTATCGTGGATAACAGATGCCGCAATAAAATCCATGATAATCAGTTAATTCCTCTAAGGGGATGGATGTTTACGGCTACGTCGAATCGATCAAAATTTTTTGTCATCCGTGAGAATTAATTAGAAAGATATTATTCTTGAAAATATATCATTCCGATTCGAGCAATTTACAAAAATATCGATAATCATTTTGATCATTGGTTTCCAACAATCTCAAATATAATTAAATCACACTTCTTCTTTCAATATTCAACGAATTAATAGAAAGAATTCTTATATTTGTAAATATTTTTCCTCCTTCTGATCATAAAATTTTACTTTCGATTATCCGTTGCACTTTATACTCGTTCGAGTGAATATTTTAAAATTAATTTAACGAGAGGATCTTGACTTTCAATACGGCACGAAACGAAACACCTTAGTAAATTTAATTTTTCACTACGAGTTAATCAAGAAAATCGAAGAAATCCGAACGTTCTCCCTTTTCCAAAAGTTTTCTAAAAATTTCTCCACCTCTGGCGAAATGTATAAAAATACAATTTCCACAAAGGTGTTCAGAATCCACCATACCTGCTCGCCTTAAAACACGTCAGCTGTTCAAGGGTCTCTTTAAAGTTTAAAGGTCCTGGAAATCCTATTATACACCTCGTTCCTTGAGCCGGGTCGTCTTTTATTATGTCGTACGGATCGTAACCCATGGAAAAGCACCCACCTTTCGCCGGGACGGCAAGTTTCATGGGAAAATGGGGAGGTGGTACGATTTTTTCCAATTCTCTTCCTATTCCGGCAAGTGTTCCTTTCATACCGTACGTCGATTATCGTATCCAAGTCTGTTTACAATTTACATAAATATGAAAATCATCATCGCTGCTCCTTGAATCCCGAACTCGAAATCTAACATAAATAATTTGCGCAATAGAGGATAAGCAGAATTCGCACAAACACAAGGAAATAATACGAAGCGTATTCGATTCGAGTTGTAAGAAGATAAAACTGATACGGAATGTAGACACGGATGAAGAAGAAAATTTGGCTCATACAATGGCTCGACAATGGTCCAATTTGAATTTCTTCTATACTGTTACGCTCCACGCCGATAGACAGGATATCGATAAATCTTGGAAGAAGGTCGAAAGGAGCGGGCACGCGTGCCACAAGGATCAGCCACGTGGCCACATCCTCCTTCCAAGAAACTATTTGTGTTTTAACCGAAACTGCTCTCCGTCTACTGGCTCCTCTTTCGTTCACAACCCGTGGAATCCTTCGGTTTTTCCTTCGTGTATCTGTGGACTGATCTTTCTTCCTTATGTAAAAAAAAAAAAAAGAAAGAAAGAAAGAAAGAAAGAAAGAAAAAAGGTTCCAATTTAATCCAAACGTCGAAGGATAGATTGGAGAGCATAGATCTGTCTTCTTCTTCTGTTTCGTTTCTTCGAATCGAAATCGAAGTTTCGTAATCGATCTCGATGAACTGTTGCGAACTGTTCATATGTATCGAATTTGGCTAGAAGAGAAGAGGAAGAAGGAAAGAGAGAGAGGGGAGAGAAAAAAAAAAGGAAACGCGAAACGACAGTTCAACCGACAGTTTTGAAAAACTTCCACAGGCTTCCTGGCTTTCTTCCTCCTCCCTTTTTTTTCCCTTTTCGTCTGGAAGAGCAGCATCGGCCGCAAGACGTTTTGGAAGTATGAGGGCGCAGATGGGATTGTGTTTAATGAAGTTTGGCCCGAGTTGCACCTGCCACTTTCGAGGCATCTCGGACCGGCGGCCGTTACATTGCCTCGAGCACAATTTAAGAAATTGGCGGGAACCCCGTTTCCCATCCCTCCTTCTCCCAGATTCGATCCTCCTCGATATATCTCCGATTCTACCTTTCTCGTGCTTTAAATTCTCCCCCCCCCCCCCCCCCTCTTCTTTCTCTTTCGTCCCTCGATCGAAATGTTCGATCGAGCCTCGATCGAGATCCACGAGATGGGATTAATTGTAATTTGTGTAATTGTACATATAATCTTTATATTCGTGTGAAACAGCGTGAAACAAACGATAACGGATTAAAATCGATTATCCGATCGAGAAAGGGAAAAAGAAAAAGGAAAGGAAAGGACCGGTCAAACTCGTCGGGATTCGATTTTCTTTGATCTCAATGAACGACTACCTACCCGACGTGTAGCCTTTTCTAACCATCGGACGGATGTGTCCTTCCTGCTTCCTGTTGGACCTCGAGGAAACCTGGATCTTTTCGCGGAGATCGGCGGAAGTTCGGCCGATCAGTTAATCGCTCCCAACATCTGTTCATCTGTTCTCGATGACTTCAGCTTCGCTATCGTAACGAGAAATGCGCGAGATTTGCAAAAGAAAAAAATAAGCGTATTTTTCGGAAGGAAAAAGAAAGGAAAACTTGTTCTCGATGGTTTCACCTTTGTAACGAGAAATACACGAAATAAATTTGCAAAAAGAAAATAAGAATATTTTTCGGAAGGAAAACGAAGGGAAAACTTGTTCTCGATGGTTTCACCTTTGTAACGAGAAATACACGAGATGGATTTGCAAAAATTTGCAAAAGAAGAAAATAAGCGTATTTTTCGGAAGGAAAAAGAAAGGAAAATTTATTCTCGATGGTTTCACCTTCGTAAAAAAAAATACGCGAGATGGTTTTGCAAAAAAAAAAAAAAATTTATTTTTCGGAAGGAAAAAGAAAGGAAAATTTATTCTTGATGGTTTCACCTTCGTAAAAAAAAATATGCGAGATGCAAATTTTGCAAAAAAAAAAAAATAAATTTATTTTTCGGAAGGAAAAAGAAAGAAAAACTTGTTCTCGATGGTTTCACCTTTGTAACGAGAAATATACGAAATAAATTTGCAAAAAGAAAATAAGAATATTTTTCGGAAGGAAAACGAAAGGAAAACTTGTTCTCGATGGTTTGTGACAAGAAATACGCGATTTGTAAAAGAAGAAAATAAACATATTTTTCGGAAGAAAAAAGAAAGAAAAACTTGTTCTCGATGGTTTCACCTTTGTAACGAGAAATACATGAGATGGATTTGCAAAAATTTGCAAAAGAAGAAAATAAGTGTATTTTTCGCAAGGAAAAAGAAAACTTATTCTCGATGGTTTCATTTTCGTGATAAGAAATATACGAGATAAATTTGCAAAAGAAGAAAATAAGAATATTTTTCGGAAGGAAAACGAAAGGAAAACTTGTTCTCGATGGTTTCACCTTCGTAACAAAAAATACGCGAGATGGTTTTGCAAAAATTTGCAAAAGAAGAAAATAAGCGTATTTTTCGGAAGGAAAAAGAAAACTTGTTCTTGATGGTTTCACCTTCGTGACAAGAAATACGCGAGATAGATTTGCAAAAAAAAAAAAAAAATAAGCGTATTTTTCGGAAGGAAAAGGAAAGGAAAATTTATTCTCGATGGTTTCACCTTTGTAACGAGAAATACGCGAGATGGATTTGCAAAAATTTGCAAAAGAAGAAAATAAGCGTATTTTTCGGAAGGAAAAAGAAAACTTGTTCTCGATGGTTTCACCTTCGTAACGAGAAATACGCGAGAGAAAAATTTACAAAAGAAAAAAAGATAAGCGTTGTCGAGTTTCGAATCGAGTCGAAGATTCAACGTGTTCAACATTGTACGTACAAGGTTAATCGGCTCGAGTTTCCTTTCTTCCCTTATTCGCGCGTCGCGTGACGCTTAGGACGCTGGTTCTCGAGGATGCCTCGCAGGATGCCTCGAGGGCTGCCATCCGTCAAGCAAACGTGAAAGCTTGCGCTCCTGTTTGCGGCGATTTAATTACCCCCGGCATCTGGCGATCCTGCTTCCCTCTTCCAGCTTCCCTTCTTTCTCCTCCGTCTCCGTCCACCCACGAGCCCCCAAACCGCTAACATAACCGCAGCCTTTAAAAAAAAAAAAGAACCTACCCTAACAGATACTAGGTTCGACAAAAGGATGCGTTAACAAAGTAGGTTCGATCGTTTCTTAAAAAAAAAAAGAAAAAACACCCGCGTAGCAAATCTCGAGTAACCTACGACTATATAATATATATAAGTAACGAAAAATTGCGGGAAAAATTGGCGAATCAGTGGACGCGAATGACGAGGATCGGTTGAATTATTAAGGGAGTGGGTGGTGGAAAGAAAAAAAAAAAAAAAAAAAAAAAAAAAAAGTATCACGATTCGTTCGGGAGGAAGGCTCTGTTTCTAAGCGGAACAGCTGTTCCACCCCCTCCTGGCCCGGTCTCTTCTGGGAGATCTGCTTATATTCGGTCTATCTGAAGGAACTATCGTGCGGAGGTGGTTTTCGAGAGGGGCAACGGCGAAGGTAGGTAGCTGGAGCAGCTGGATCGGTAGAGACTCGAAAAACTCTCGGTCACGCCTTCTCCCCATATTGTATTCGTATCTAATGCTGTTCTCTTTCGCTCTGTGCGGAGGAAAAGAAAAAAAAAAAAANAAAAAAAAAGAAAGAA